TTCAGAATTATGCACATTTATCTCATATACATTTAACTGTCGCACATGTTTTTGATCATTTGTTTATTTTGGCTACATATGGTGGAGTTGTTGCTTTTTAGGATAAATATAATGTTTATTTCACACGGTTATCTACATTATTTTTCTTTCCAACTTTTCTTTGCCTTCATCTGTACGATTACTTTACTGTATCACTGTATGGCTTATACTTTTTTATCGAATGAGTTGCTTCTTATAAAATCGCAACTATAAGGAGGAGGAGAATTTAAGAAATAAAAAGGGCATTGACAGCCAACATAGCAAATGTTAGTGTATTTCTATTATTATTATCATCTTTTTTTATCTGTGTATGCGTGTGAGAGCGATGAGTAGCTTTAAATGATCATTCTCTCGCATGTCACTTACCCCACACTCAATAGATTGATTAAAGATAATTAAAATTTCTAATAATCATGCCTTTCTATCCTTATATACAACAGTACTTCTGTTGATTATATTTCTTTGAAAAAAAAAGATGAAAATTTCATAGAATAATAATTTTATCCCACCTTATCTCATACACAATAGTCAAAAACAATGTCTTATCATATCGAATATGAAACTATATACTACACTCCTTTATTCTTTTTCTTACTGTTCTTCCGAGTTTTTTTTATTACTTCTTATCTTTTTCTTCACATTGGAAAAAAAATATTTCATACACATCATGAATAACAATCATCAATGAATGAAATAGTAGAAGAAACTGTTTTCTTACCCCAAGTTTTGAATACGAATCAAATTCATCGACAATCACATAAAAACCAACATTTCAAAGAATTTATTCTATGGTTTATTTTATTAATTTGTCTTTTACTTCTTGCTGGTCCATTTGCACATCATCTATCCTATTCAGTACCAACAGTAAAAACACGAACAAGTGCACGTCATATATTTAGTGAAGAACGTGCTCTTGATTATCTAAGTAATTTAACTCAATATGGATCAAGAGTAAGTAATACACGTGGAAATTTTGATGCACGTGATTATCTTATTTTACAAATAAAACGTATTTGTTCAATGAATAAAAGACATATTCAATGTGAACTTGATCTTCAAAATTTTACTAATTATAAACACAATCAATTACAAAATATTCTTGTTCGTGTGTCAAATACAACTAATAAATTTCAAAATATACCTAGTCTAATGTTAAGTGCTCATTACGATTCAGGTACGTACGTTTAGAAGTTTAATCATTTGATGTAAAACTCTTTTCGTTTTGTTTTAATAGTGGAATTTAGTTCAGGAGCTGCTGACGATGGTTCGGGTATTGTTATTTTACTTGAACTTCTCTCAAATTTAATCAACGATTTAACAATAAATTTTTCTAATGTTCACTTAATTATACTATTCACAAATGCCGAAGAGACAAGATTAGAAGGTTCCAAGGCATTTATTGCTAATCATCGTTGGCGTTTTAATGTTCGTCATTTTCTTAATGTTGATTCAAGTAATTGCAATGAAGTAGCTAATCTATTACGAACAACATCATCACAGGTATTTGTTTTTCAGTCTAATTCACTTTCTATGAACTGTTTTTCTAGCTTGTCATTGATTATAGTCGAGTAGCAAGACCACGTGCTAATGTAATCCTACAGAAAATTCCTAGATGGCTTCGATTCCGTAGTGATTATGATATTTTCAATTTAAGTTATTCTCGATTAGGATACGATTTTGGTTACTTTCTTGATGGATACACATATCATACATCACTAGATCAATTATCAACATTTAAACAAGGTGTTATTCAAGATCTCGGTGATAATCTTGCTATATTAATTCGTAATATCCTCCTTGAGCATAATCAACAGATAAACGATATTAACGATGCAGATCCTTTAATTTATTTTGATATTCTTAGTCGATATTTGATGATCTATAAATTATCAACATCAATATTAATTCAAAAAATTTTAATTATCTTAATTATTATTATTGGTATTATTCGAATTATATTCGATCATATATATCATCGAAAACAAAATTTCTCATGTAATGATCTTCATTGTATCTATTTTCGATTTAAATACCCATTAATTATTCGTATTATTTCTATTATGATATATTCAATCTCTAATATTCTATCAATGATTGTTGGCCTTGTATTTTCATTGATTTTAGCATGGATTCTATCAAAAACTCAACCTACTTCATGGCATGGTAATTCAACATTAGCCATATTTCTTTTTAGTTTACCATGTTTAATTGGTTTTATTATTTTTCGATATTTATTCGATCTATTACATCGTTGTATTCTTCGGAAATGCTCTCAAAAATCATCTGAATACAATACTAAACATTTGAATAAAATTCATTTCGATTTTGAACAAAATATTTCCGTTCTCATCATTTATAGTTTATTAATGATTATTTCAATTTATTCGAATTCTCAATACTTTTATATAATTCTTATTTGGTCAATATTTATTTGTCCATTATATCTTATTCTGATTATTATTGAATTTATTCTTCATTGGAAACAAATCTTCGAAAAAGACTTTCATCAATTATATTTACCATTGTTAATATCTTTTTTTCCATTGATACATACAATTGAAATAGTTAATCGACTACTTCGTATTTTTATTCCAATGGTAACACCATTATTTTCATTTGGATGGATACTTCGTGGAAATCTGATTATTTGTAGTATTGTTGTTATTCCGACATTATTTTTCCTTCCAATATTACAACGAACAGGACAATTTATTCGTTTACTAATTACTCTTTTAGTTATTTTCTTTATTGTTCTTATTGTTTGTTGTATTCGTCAACCATTTACGAAAAATCATCCAAATACTTTTTATGCTGAACATATATCAAAATCAATTTATAATGCAGAAATTTTAATGAATAAATCATTTGATGTTTCACTTATATCACAACAATCAACAATTACAGTTAATACATATCATGGTCTTGTTCTATCACCTATACTTGATCAATTTTCAATTGAAAGTGGTCATAAATTATATAATAAAGCATGTTTTAGCTCAACAAATTGTACATTTGATGATAGTTTTAATCGTCAATTAGCTGTTGAACATATTCAGATCGAATCGATGAAGAATAATTATTCAGATTACAGAATTCGAATTCAACATGTATTATCTTATGATATCCGAATTTCTTCGTTAGGATATATTGGATTAACTGTTCAAAATCAATTCGATATTCCAAGGAAAGAAACAATTATTGATATTAATGTATATCCAGTAATATCTAGATTTGAAATTAATATCAAAACTCAACGATGTGACATAAATGATTCACCATTTTTATTATTATTTACTCGTTTAATGCCAAATATTGTACTTAAAGGTGAAGGATCTTGCAAAGCAATTGATGATGATACTACAATTATCATTAACCGATAGAAATATTTTATTGATTAATCAGTTGTATTATTAAATCAATTCAAAATTCTTTTTTTGCTTCTGAATATCGTTTATTGAAGAACATGATTGAATAATTTGTTGTATGATAAATATATCATAACGAGAGAGATCAATTATAAAAAGATACTCAAAGAAAAAGAGTAAATATACTCGCAGTTTGTTTCTATGAATATATGAGATACATTTTGAAATCTTTATTGTCTATTATATGAATACCTTTAAAAAAATAATGTTAGCCCTTTCTTGAGTTCGTAAAATCACATGATAAGAATAATCGATACAAAAACAAGTTTAGTATAATAATTTGGTGCACTTTCATTGCAATTTATACGGCTTTTATGTAACTTCAAAATTCTGGACATCATGGTTGACTATAGTCGTCGTGTGGCTTTTTAAAGTCAACTTCGCGGTAGGCGTTTACCACAACTCATACACTTGAAGCTGTGAATGTTAATATTTTTAGACTGGTTGATTACAGGTTTTATTTGAAATAATCTTATTCTGTTCCTAAAACTTTTTTTACAAGTAATTCAGAGTGTCACACAAATAAAACGAAGATGAAAATATATGATGCATAGATAAATCTCGAGAGCACGTTTTTCCTTCTTTCTTCTTGTTAATTTCTAAAATAATACGTGATGCAAATGAAAAATACTTTTTACAGTTTCGATCACAAAAAAAATCTATTACGCTCCATCTAATCATTGACGCATTTATTTATACCGTCTTTCTTATACTTTCAAAGCAACAGAATTATTAAGTTTCATAGTTAAGTTATCGAATTGATGATAACAGCAAAAACATTCATTCATTTGTTAAGTTTAGAATATCAATATTGCAATAAGTGTTTATCAAATATTGTAAAGATGCTGACGATGAGGAATAGAAAGAAAAAAAACATGAAATATGCCATACTAAGGGCTATCTATGCCTTGCAATTATATATAAACAGTATGTAATGAGGATGCATTCTTCTATCAATTTGATTACATTGAAATTTTGCTGAACTGCTTCTCATCAAGAGTAAAATATTTATCAAGTGTGGGTGAGGGTCATGGATTCAAGACACCCACATCCTCACCTTCATCCAGCTTTTCTTGATAAATTTATTCGACGAAAATCGATCTGGTGAAGTTCACTTTCGGTGAATTTTGGTCGGCGAAGGTAGACTAAATGATTTCATCAGCTTGACTTATACCACATCAACAAAAAAAAATATGAATTGAAAATTTCAAGCTTTACAATTTTCTTTTTACCCCAGAGCGTTTTTTATTAAAAGTAACTGCCAGAATTAATGTTTTTGTTTTCTAAGCAAGAAAGTAGCAACGGTTTGTTTCTTCTTCTTTTTTTCTGTTTTCATCCATTAAATATGTAATTGCGTAAAGTTGTGATTTTCGACGATTTTTTTTCCTTTTCACAAGCACACTTGAAAATTTAGTCGCTGATTATACATATAAAAGAAAGTGCATTTCATGATTTTTCTAAAAAAATAAGAAAAGGAATTATTTTAGTTGGTAACTATTAAGTTTTACTTAATAATTCATACTATTGTATCACACAATGCCGAAAGTTTTGAGTTCAAGCGTTATATTTTTATTCTACGTGCTACTATTAGTGTAAGTATTAATGATCACGTTCTACATTTTCTATACTTTTTTTTATTTTCTTCAACGATAGAAACACATCAGAACAACAACAACAACAACTAAGTAATTAATAATAATGACTATTATTTTTGGAAGTGGCTATGTACACTCAGACAGTCTTAGAAAATATTTAGCAAAAATTAGGTTAAATCCGTCTTATATACACTTCATTTTTAACATATATGAAATTCCTAAAGGAGACCCCCCTTTCCAAACCCAAAAATTTTTTTTTCGATTTTTTTATTTAACAGAAAGTTGTATGAAGGTCCCTTCTCGGTGTGCTATAGAAATTAGAACTTCCCAGAGTCTGGAAGTCTCTAGAAAACCAGGTTTTTTGAAGACCTATGAAAAAAAAAATTATTTTTTTTACTAAAAAGTTATATTATGATGTAGTATATTTCTACTATCAAAATCAGAACCACCCAAGGTCGATAGGTCTCTGAAAAACCAGAGGGTTTGGCAACATATGCAACAAAAAAAAATTTCCCTAGTTTTTGTGGCTTTAATTCTAATGATATCTCCTGGAATTTTTTAGTTCTATTTTCTAATTAATTAATAAATAATAATTAATTAAATCTGACATCAGATTTAAATTCTCCACCTTCGAATACAGTATTTTCAATATTATAAAAATCGGCTTCACTAATTAACGACTAAGTCGTGTCTAGTTAATAATTAGTTAATTAATTAAAACTGACTTCAGATTCAACTTCTCCATGCCCAACTATCCTTTGTAACACAAAATTAACAAAAAAACTAAGGTATAGGTGAAAATAATTGAAGTATAGATGTGAGTAAGAAACAAGAGTAGCATGTCATCCATACTACACGCACACTCTTAAATCGGTTGATATTTGTCTAAATTAAATTTTTTTAAATATTTATGTAATTGTAATATTTGATTTGTACATTTTTTTAAATATAGTACAAAACTACTAATGTTAAATTACTATTAAGTTAAGGCATTTTATATATGTTAAAAATGAAGTGTATATAAGACGGATTTAACTTAATTTTTGCTAAATATTTTCTAAGACTGTCTGAGTGTACATAGCCGCCTGACTACGTACACTTGAGTGCACATAGCCGCCTGACTATGTACACTTAAGTGCACATAGCCAGGTGGCTATGTACACTCGAGTGCACATAGCCACTTCCATTATTTTTCTTTATTTTCTTATTATTTATTTGTTAGTTAACTCAACAACAACAGCAACATGTAATTTTACTGCATGTGATTCTCAACGAACATCATGTTCATCGAATCTTGACTGCGATTGTTTTCCATTAACATCTAATTCGAATATGGGAATATGTGCTTTAACTACTCTCTCATGTGCAAGTTTTGTACGATGTAATATGGATAATGTAACTTGTTCAATCGGATGTACAATCTGTGTGAATAGTACACGATGTGGTCAACCAATATGCTATCCACTGCCTTTAGCAAGCAAACAAATTTGTCCACCAAAGACTGTTACAAGTAAAAAAGATCCATAATAACTATTTTATTTTTATTTGTTTTTACTTCTCTGAATAGCTACAACCATACATACAACAAGCACAACTAAATCTACAACAAAGAGTAAGCGTTATTTCATTATATTTTCTCTTTAAAAAAATGTGTTTATTTTGTGGCTAACTTATCTCTTTTGATTCAGTTACAACAACAACTCAAAAGCCTAAGATCACCACTGAAGCAGCGACTAATCAAAAGCCAACGACTACCACTGAAGCAGCGACAACTCAAAAGCCTAAGATCACCACTGAAACATCGACAACAACACCAACATCAACAGGTACAATATACAGTATTGTTGCCACTGACTCTAACTCATAGCTTTTTTTCTTTCACTTTTCAGTTCATTTCGACACTACAACTAATCAATCTAGTACAGTCGCTAGTAAGTAATCATCTTGAGGGTGCGGGTGTGGGTGTGGGCGAATTGAATAATATCTATACCCACACCCACATCCACACCCAAGATGAGATAAAAAAGGAAATAGAAAATATAGAAAAGTGAAGATGTGATAATGTATATGAAGAGATTTTGTACAATAGATTTGACTACTATTCTCGATCGACATAAGTTTAAGGTGATTTAAAACAGACATATCAAAGACTATCGTTTTTAGAATAACCAACAATACTGTACAAGAATAATGAATGTTGATTGTTTGATTATCTAATATTGTATTGTCTAAATATATAAAAATATAACTTCTAGGATGGTTTTCAACTGGCAATATGAGTCATGGACGATATATTCACACTGCATCTGTGTTACCAAATGGAAAGATATTAGTTGCTGGCGGAGAAGGCAACGGAGATATTGCTTTAAATAGTGCTGAGCTTTATGATTCATCAACAGGTGCTTGGACACCTACGGGTAATATGACTAATGCACGATACGCTCACACTGCATCTGTGTTATTAAATGGGAAAGTATTAATCACTGGTGGTACGATCGATCGTATTACTGCTTTTAATGGTGTTGAATTGTATGATTCATCAACAGCAACTTGGGCACTTACTATTAGCATGATGAATCCACGAGCAGCTCATACAGCATCTGTATTATCAAATGGAAAAGTATTAGTTACTGGTGGAAAACCTAATAATTATACTTATATAAATAGTGCTGAGCTGTATGACCCATCAACAGGTACTTGGACAATTACTGGTAACATGACTACTAAACGAGCTTATCACACAGCAGCTATGTTATCAAATGGGAAAATTTTAATTACTGGCGGACAGAATTATGATGGTTATTTAAAGAGTGCTGAACTATATGATCCATCAACGGGCATTTGGACGACTACCGGTAACATGACTAATGCACGAGAACTGTATACAGCATCTGTATTATCAAATGGAAAAGTATTAGTTACTGGTGGACAGACTAATGACACGAGCTTTTTAAATAGTGCTGAGCTATATGACCCATCAACAGGTACTTGGACAATTACTGGTAGCATGACGTATACACGATCTACTCATACAGCATCTATATTATCCAATGGACAAGTACTAGTTACTGGCGGAGCGAATAGTTTTGTTTTAAATAGTGCTGAGCTGTATAATCCATCAACAGGCACTTGGGCAACTACTAGTTATATGGCTAATGCACGATATTATCCCATTGCAGCTGTATTATCAAATGGAAAAGTATTAATTACTGGGGGATGGAATGGTATCATTGCTTTAAATAGTACAGAGCTATATTAATTATTTCAAACAAAACTTTAGTTAGAATAACTGTCATCTTATGACACCCGCGAACTATTTCCTTTCATATTTTTACTGTATTATCACATATTTTAATATTCTATTCCAAATAAAAAATATATCTTTTTTTTCTGCTCTTATATATTAGTTTATTATGATTAACAAAATTTACAATTGATACGATGGCTTTAATTATCCTTTCAAATGCTCCGTTAGTTTTATAGTGTAATTTTTCATACTATTTAAAGGTTTTGATAGTCTCTATCAGATTTAGAACGTATGATTATTGAAACATTTTGGTTACAAATGACTTCGAAGTAAGTTCATGAATGGCATAGATAAATACCTCTGTAAACAACAACAACAGATAATATAAAACAAAATCTATAATCACATTAGATATACGAACTAATAAAGTAAACAAGATACTTACATTCAACTTACGTTATTTTTATATGCATATGTATTTTAACAAAATAGAATCAATAATAAGACAATTTCTGTTTAATATTTCTTTGCGATTAGTAATTCTCTCATGATCAGTCCTAAATTTATCAATTCAAGCCACTCAAAAGAAAATCAAATTGATTAGTGCAGAATATCTATAGATAACTGACTTTCAAATCGTTTGTTTTTGGTTTACAAGTGGTACAATCTATTTCTCTTGTGTAGAATTTGAGAAGATTGACAAAAAAATAAAATTATAGGGGGTGTTTGTGTGAGTGTTATTTTTATTATAGTCAAATCCCTACAGCCATACTCTGTTTTTCTGATCGTAGATATTTTTCCGTTATTATTTCTATTATAGATACAATGATCAAACAGCTGTTCCTATTTATTATGTGTTTTCTTATCTTTGCTAAGATATATAATATACTCAGTCTCATTCCTCAGTCGGCTAGGCTAATAAAAGTTTTTTGATATAGTTGGAAATGAAAGGCTCAATACATATGAAAAAGGAAAACTTATATAATCAGGTGAATATATGGTGAATGAACATATTCTCATTCATATCCATCTTCAACGTTCATGTGAATTGATCTATAACAATAAAATGCACGCTTATTCGAATGATATGGAACGACAGTTTTTATACAATGTTGGTAGTAGCAGTACAGCGACACTGGGAATAGTCATTGATAAAAATAAAGATAGATATTATCGACACAACCATCATTATAGGCGACTCCTGCGGTACGAGTCATTGTAACTGTCACTAGCAAAGATCGAGCATTGGTTGGCACGAGTCCACTAGTTTGCCGAGCGAGTAGCTTACTGACGTTCCCACGATCTACAGCTAATACTGGTCCAAGAACGGCGGTACTACCTACGGCTTGATTGAGTTGATTGATGAATATTAGCGAGACTTGAACATTGTCATCTTGATCATAATAACCACCAAGCCATGCTGAAAAATTAAATCGTACTGTTTGATTGTCAATGAGAACAGGATTGATTGAACTAGTCATGTTTACATATTGCCACATTGAAGTAACATTCGAAATTTGACCATAGAAATAACATTGTCCACGATTACTATAAAAAGAAAAGAGTCAAACATAAAATTATTTATATATTTTTCTGTTACCTAGGACCTGGAGTGGTAGAGTTTAAATCACCATCACTAGCACTATAATATATTTGCGTAACCGTTCCATTGTACATCCAGCCTGTTGGACTTGTTATGCCGGATCCTGCCTGGCATGAACCAGTCTCTCCATCACCATTAATCAGCCAATTAGATGTGGAGACTAAGTAAAAAAATCGTTTAATTAGTGCAGCAGTGTACATACTCAGTGAAATCTGAACGCTTCAACAAACTGTCGAAACCCTGTAATCCTATTATATTGTAATAAAAATAGATGAGTGTGTGGTTTTAGTCTCGTTGTGATACTCATTTATGTCGTCTGAACTTTTTCAGTTCCTGGATATTTTCAGATTCTATGTCTTTGTACAATTTTATGTGACAGCTATTGTGTTGTATAGATAGTTTTATCACAGTTTAATATGATTACAGCGTTCTGCCTGTTCCACAAGAGTTCGAACACGTCTTCTAGAATCAGCATCTTACTTGTGGTTGTTGTTGTTGGTAGTGTCGGGCTCATCGTTGAAGTTGATACTGTTGTTCTTTGAGCTGAAAACATCAATCATTATAGAATGTTTTACTTTTTTATGTAAAATATTTAATCATTTCTTTCTTTCTACACCATTATTCGTTTTTAGATACTTTGATTATACCCACATGTCTATCTTCTCCTTACTCGCACAGATCTCTCTTTCTTTCTCAAAGTATGTTACTATTTAAATAAGAATATCTACTCCTTCCTTTATACTGCTTCAATAACTACAAGACTTCTCAGTTCATCATCATGGTCCTTATATTTACTCTTGACAGTTGTTGATGTTGAAGCCAGAGATGGGAACGGTTCGAATCGAGACTTGTAAAACCAATATCGGTTTCGGTTCGGTTCAATTTCAACTTACACTGATTCAACTTAGACGACTACCTATATGCAATTTTAAACGTATTATCTGATACTTTTATTGCTAGATCTGAAGCCTAGAAAAATAAAGATATGAGATGAAAATCAAAGGAATTCAGGTTATGATATATAAAACGAAGCATATGTCTTGATAAGTATGCTGTTATTCACAAGTCGTACTGTCAAAACTAATAACATTTGATTACCTTTTTCGAGATTTCGGTTTCAGTTCGATTTAATTTTTGAAAACCACGAACCGTGAATAGTTCTTTGCCTAATTACTGGTGATTTTATAATTAATTAAAAAAAGTCAATAGTTATCATTTTTATCTCATCATAGGTTATTGTTGAACCAAAAACTGTACTCAGTTATCTTTTTATTTCATTTGATGAATAAAAAGACAAAATAGTCAAGATGAAAACAATGATTTTAATTGTTACATACTTAATGTTTCCGTTGTTGTTGTTGTTTTTGAAGTCAACCAAAATGCGAGTACAATAGCTAAACCTATTCCAGCAACTAATGATCCCATAAAACAGCATCTAACGCACCAATGCCAAGCAAAGGACTTCTTTTGATTAATTCTGTCATTAAAATAAAAGGTATATAAGCATGTTGAAGTCGATATTGTACTTACTGATTATTATCATCGTCATCTGTCCAGACAATACGTTCAATCGATGAATGACTTCCATGTGTGCTTGATGCTGGATTCGCCATTATCTGCAATGTCAGTGAATTCGTAGCTGATTCCGATCTCAGTTGAATAAAACAAATGTATGTATGGTTTATATAATAAAAAATAATCAATAATGAGCCCATTTCAACGGATTCGAACATATAATGTAAATTTCATATTTTGTGTAAACATAATTTATAATTTTAATCAAAAATTTGGCCACGACAATAGAGAAAAAAATGTAACAGAATGTGTGTTCGATTAAAAAATTCATTGTGTATTGGAAATGGATGAGTTGTATGTCATAATTCGAAGAAGGCAAGTAAATACGAAGTTGTTTTACACTATTAATTAAATTCGCAAGTAGGAATTTTTAAACGTAAACATATTGTGACAAAAGTGAATGTTATTAAATACCGATTCGAATGAATTCTAGATCCCAAGATTCTACCTCTTCTAACTGAATTATGAACATCTTTAAATTTAATGTATACTAATTATGTCACCATATATATAACGAATAGATCAAATACTATCTATGAACGCTTGATTGTATTCTTTTATTGGGCACGTTCAATCTGAGAAATAGAACTTAAAAAAATTGAAGTGCATATTTTCATGTTTGTGCTTTATTGTTTTATTTCTTTTCGTCGTATTTTTTATATTAATATTTACAACAAAAAAAATTCTCTCCGCGAAACAAAATTTTTTCATTTGTTTTTTGTTCTTCATAAATTAAAAAATCGTACGTATAAAATTTAGTTGACAGTAAACCTATAACAAGGTCATCTATCATTAAGCCTGATGCATTCGATTGGTTTCGATTAGATTTTGATTATCTGAATTTGTTTGCAAATAATTATTTTACATATTCAATAAAAAATTTCATATTGACAAAAAAAAAGAATTTTTTATCGCTGATTTTTTCTTTTATACATTTGAAACAATATTTACGTATATAATAACAAGTTTTTATTTTATTTTATCCTAACTGATAGGAGAAAATCTATAGATAAAAATAATGGAGAATTTTTTGTTATTAATGACTAATTGTTTTGTTATGAATTTAATAATACCTAACTCTAATTTTGAAGTATGGAAAAGATTGAATATTCAATAAACTATTTTGAGAGTGTTACTGGGTGTGCATGAGGATGAGTTAGATTTAGAACATCATCATCCACTCATACCCACTGTCAAGATGGTTTGTTATTATACAGCATAAAACTAAATGTATCGAAGCTTTGATTTTCTTTATAGTTGAAATGATACATCGTGCAAAGTTTGGTTGTACTGGCTTTTACAGAAGCCAAATGCACAAAGAACAAACAAACAAATTTTCTTGTTTATTATTACAAGGTCATTTTGTCACTGAATTGAACAAGTGAGAAGAAGAATATTTTCCTTAACTACGAAGCAATTTTATTTAAAAAAAAACTAGCTATTCATACTCATTCTATCCAGGTATACATAGAAGTGAGAGATAGATGAACAAAGCAAAGAAGATGATGTAATACATCTTCTTTCTAATTGTGTATGAAGTAAATGAAAGAAGATGAGAATTTAAATATATTCTCATAGATGACAGGAAGGAGAGAGAAAAAGATAATACAAATGTTGTTAGAGTGTTTTCTAACATTTATACATTAGATATTGAATGAGTTCGTAGAAAATGAACAAAAATGTCAATGTTAACAACAGCAAACTTTGGCGCATGATCTTTTAACGGTGACAGTTTTCTTTCTGATGACTTTGCAACATGGTTTGCAGCAGCACACAGTTTTGCGTACACAACAGCATGGACTACAGCAACAATCACAGCAAGGGTCGCAGCAAGAGCAACAACAAGGATCACAGCAAGAACAGCAACAAGGATCACAGCATGAATTACAACACGAACCACAACCACGACCGCAGCAACATCCGCAGCCACATCCGCCGCCACAACCACAACCACAACCACAACCACAACCACATCCACAGCCTGGCATATTAATAGTAATAATGTAGTGAAGAATAAAACTGGAGTACGATAAGAACTAGTTTGTGAAACTATGAGAAAAGGTGTGTGTATATATATACACAGAGGTAGAGACACGAACAAAATTGTTTTCAGTCAACAAAACAATTAACTACTGTCCTCACATGACAATACCTTAGATGTACATGTGATAGAAAAGTATATGGAGAGATATAAGCAACAATTTGTTACTATTCATGCAATACATCAAATATCAAGTACTATTGCAAATCATTTCTCACTCATGCAATACAACAAAAACATAAAATTCACACTTATTAGCAACGTCTTTCCTTTGATTTGTTTTGATAGTATAGAAAACATCTAAATTTAATTGCACTTTGATTTCGTGACCACAATTCTAAAAGGGTAAAAGTCATTTGATACACTTTTTTTATGAAAATAGTGCTAATCAAAAAAAACAAACTGCATGTTTTTGGTGAAAAATATTGATTCTCACGTTCTAGTACACACATACTGTAATATCATCAAATGACGTGAATATCATAACACAGGACAATGCAGAGCATCGAAAAAAATATATAACATATGAATACAATAACAATAGCAACCACGCTAATTTAATGTGTGAGTTGTTAATGAATGAATATTGAGAGTGGTATGTGGGCGTGGTATGGATACTGTATTCACCTAGCATCCACCCCCACCCCTGAGTTTAAATCAATAAAAATAATAATTTGATGAAATATAACCACATGCGCCAATTTCAATCCCAGTATTCAATCTCGTTACTTGACTCAATATTAAACTTAGTCAATAAAGAATTACAGACATATATAGGAACTTAATAGATTAGGCTCTGGGTATGGGTGTGAGCATGAGTATCTCTTCTCTTAACCTATACGCATACCATCACTGTCATATATATTTTGTATTAATATCGTTCTATGGTAACTAGTAAATTCCATCAAAAGCTGATAATAACATATTTTGCTGCGTTAAATTCCACACTTTTAACCCGTAGATATGTGTGCTTTTGCCCGTTTTGTCATTTTTAATGATATGTTCTTTGATTAAATTTTTAAAGCTTTCCATAAGGCATTTTAATTGCATGTGTTTTTAATATATTTATAAGATAAGCGAAAACTCCAAGCGCTTGTAAAGCTATAAGATAAATTACTTTTTACCTTAGCAACGGTTGTCAATAATTTATTTTGTAATCATTGTTGAAGTCGATTAAAGTTATATTTTTTTAGATTTATTTGAAAATAATATTCACTAAGTGTCCGGACAAAGTATGAAGGATTTTTATCATGATATAAATTATAATTAGTAGCAGAAATCCCTCTTGATAGTATTATGTAGGTGTTCTGTTAACACTTTAAAGACAGTTACTCGTTGTATTTAATTACGTAGAAAAAACAGAAACTCATTTTTCATAAGAAGCAGTTATATTTAAAAGTGTTGTTCATTAGTATTACAGAAAAATGAGTTCGTCCGACGTTTACTACATAAATCTATTTAATAATATCATAACTTATGTTTATAAATATATTCTTCTTATATGTTATATCGTAAGTAATATTGGAAACTTATTAAATGCTTTTGTATTTTTTCAAAAATCTTGGAGAAAAAATGTTTGTGTATTTTATTTTAAAATTATTCTTCTTATTAATTTATTTTATATCAATTTTACTATGCTTGGTCTTGTCCTTTTAAATGGTTTTAATGTAAACTTACAGAATTCTAGTGTTATTGCATGTAAATTATATTTCTATGCATCATTTCTATTTGCTGCACTTTCACCTACTATTCTTATTCTTGCATCTATTGATCGTTTATTAATATCTTCCCAGAATGTTGATACACGTTTGTACAGTTCAAAGCGTTTAGCTTATTTTTCTATCAGTATAAGTACAGTTTTTTGGATTGTTTTTAACTCTCATATACTTATTAAAGCTAATCTTCAAGAGTTTGCTCCTTTTTATTTTATTTGTTATTTTGATCTTTTTTCGACTTACTTTGATTTCGTTTCATATTCTATAGCAGTTATTAATACCATTTTGGATATTTTAATGATTGTTTTGTGTGTATTTGCGTTTAAAAATGTTCGTCGTATTCGATCGATCCCACGTGAAAAACGAAATCAAATCCGATCGATGACAAAAAAAGATTTTCAATTACTTCGTTGTTTATTTGTTCAAGATGTTATTTACATTATTTTTGGTACATCAATCAGTATATTTTATGTCTTTGATGCTATAACAAAATATGAAAATGGAACAATATTAGAACAAGCCATACGAAATTTTTTATATAATTCTATGACATTTATTTATAGTACTTCTTATTCAGTGAATGTTTTTACATTTATCATCGTATCGAAAGCGTTTCGACATGAATTAAAACGTACAATTTATAAGATCATTGGTAAAGATCTTGTTCCAATACGAGAAGAAGAAAATAGACAAGAAAATCATGAA